ATGTACAAATATAATAAACATGAAATATACACAATAAAATAAAATAATAATTATCGGCCTAAGGTTTGCCTAAAGTCAACTTTTACATAATAATGAAATAAAAATATAATTCGAGCTTTTTCGAATGACTTTATGGAAAGCAACTCTGTGTACCTGTAAACACACTTAGTAAAAGAGTTAGTACCAAATAAATAAAAATAAAAATGAATAACTCAAATAATAACTAAAAAAATAAAAAAGATCCGTCTTATTAACATGGGAGGCCTTGGAAATCGACGGTAGTTTCTTCATCTGCCCTTTAACAAATAAACATAGATGAACTTAAATTAAAATTTCCGTCTTTTAAAATGGAAAGGCCTCTAAACCCGACAGATAGATTTTTCATTGGCCACTTTAAAAAATATATTTAGTATAACCTGAACATCAACAAAACATAACAAACTTATCCCAAGAGAATATGGAAAACAACAACCAAACTAAAACAACATGATTAGAAATGGAAACAACAATAACGTAATATATAAAACTTAAAAATAACATTAAAATAGAATAATAACAAAACCCTGAAAATTTAAGATAGCAAATAGTTGACTAACAATTTTAAAATAATAATAATAAATAAATGAACATCAAATCGTAAAATAATGCTAATATTAAAACTACAATAAACACAAATATTAATTGACTTTTAGAACTACATTAAACTAAAAAAAATAAAACAAGCTACATACAATAAACATAAAACATAAAAGAGTTGGGAATTAAATAAAACAATGCTAAGAAAAAAATTTACCTGGTTCTGGGCAGCGAACCGGAACTACGAGTTTGAAGGAGACGACTCCACCTCCTCGAAAAACCACAAAAAACACTTTAAAATTTTGAACTATAGAACCAAGAATTCTCAAAATTTTATGGGTACTCTTTGGTCTTCCCCTCCAAAATCCTCTCTTATTGAATGAAGTGGGTTTATATAGAAACCCAAAAATCCTCAAAAAAGGGATAAAATATCGATGTGGGACTGTTGCAAAATAAAAAATTGTTTGAGAAACGATGTGGGAAAGGCAGATTATTTTTTATTTTTTTAACTCAAAATGTATTAATTTTAAAATCATCGCACCTAAATTTGGTGTCAACAAGTATCCTCCAAAAGCATAGTGTAAAGCCTATTTAGATACAGTGTGCAAAAACCAGGTTGTGGACAACAACTTTACTGAATCATTCAATGCCTGAATACTTGAAGCAAGGTGCAAGCCAATTATTGAAATGTTGGAAGACATTAGGGTCAAAATAATGGAGAGGTTGACAGCAAAAAGAGGTTGATGTGTGAAAGTGAAAAGTTGATTTGTTTAGTCCCAAAAGTGAGTTGTTGTTTAATGAGTATTTGAAGATTTCCAAGGTTTATAAGGTGAGTGACAATGGGGATAATGGCTATGAGGTTACTGAAGGTGCAGTTAGACACATTGTCAACTTAACAGTGAAAAAATGTATATTCAGAACATGGGATTTGATTGAAATTCCATGTCCACATGCAATTAAAGCCATGGAGCACAAGAAAATTATACAAAAAAAAAAAGAAATTCATTGTTATTATAGTAAAGAGGCAGTCTTGACAGTTTATAAACACAAATTACAACCTGTTAGGGGAGAACCATTCTGGAAATGCAACATTTTGCATGCTATCGAACCACCAGAATTGGTCAAACTTATTGGTAGACCTAAGCTAATGAGGGAAAGAGAAAAGAATGAAGTTGTTAATAGACAAGGAGTATGGAAGCGAACAAGAAAAGGAAAAGTGATGACATGTAGTAATTGTGGAGAACAAAATCATAATGCAAGAGGATGTGAAAAGGTAATTTTCAGTTCTCTTTAATTATTAATTTCATCAAATACTTGATATATTTTAATACTAAATTCTATATATTCTATTATGATTAATAAGGCAAAGCAGGGGAAACAACAAACTAAGAAGCAAGGAAAACAACCTGCAAAGGAAGGAAAAGAAACTGGTAGGGGAAGAGGAAGCCTAGGAGAGGTTTAGTTGATGAAGATGAAGAAGAAGCTTATGAGGAAGACATCAACTGCACAGCCCCACAACCAACACAATAAAGTTAGTTTGAATATGCCTCTTCTAGCAGCTATTATCCAGTAGCTCAGGATGATGATGAAAATCCTAGGCTAAGGCCAAGAACAATCTCAGAAAAATCTTTTCTATCAAAATTGAGAAAGAGACAGAACCCACAAGAACCAATTGGGAGTAGAGTAATAAGCTTCAGAGGTGACAAATTTGGTGTTAGTGAACCTACAAATCTTCCCATAGCACCAACTAGCTTAACTTAGAATGGACAGGGTGCAATTACTACAAGTCGGATACAAAAATTGAGGCCAAGAAGGGGATGATGCTATTGTGTTGGTACTGTTTTGTATATGTTGGTGTAGTTTTTGCTACTGTTTGTGTAGGTTGGTGCCTTAAATGATGTTAAGGCTAAACTTATTTTTTTGGTATGTTGTGTAGGCTGGTGCCTTAAACTTATAGTTGTAGTTTTGATTTTCACTTCTACTTTTTGTATAGACTGAGCGTATCAACTAAAACTATCTATCGTTTTGCTTATATATAATCAAGTGAATGTTATATATAGTGTTTTGTATCTATTGGGTTCTGTTAATGTAGGATGCGGTTTGTGATTTGAATTGAGTTGCACTTTTCTTAGTTGTTTTGTTATGTATCTTTCCATTGCTCTTTATTGTTGTTTTGTTATGTATCTTTTCAATCTTGCTTTTACTTTCTAATGAGTTTGTTATGATATGAAACATTTATTCAAGAAAAACATAGTGGCAATTTCACAAACTTTATCTATCTTCAACGTAAAGACTAATATAACACAACTAAATATTACAAACTTTAAGGCAAAAGACACAAAATGATGTTTCAAATTCAATCTGAAATTCACAATAAGTTTGAAGCAACACTTGAAAATAATGGCCAACATTCAAACACAACTAAATACTACAAACTTTAAGGCAAAATACACAAATTAATATTTCAAATCCAATACTTGAAATTCACAATAAGTTTGAAGCAACACTTGAAAATAATGGCCAACATTCAAACATAAGATTTACTATCACTAATACATAAGAAACAATTAAAATAACTAACACTTGAAAATTGAAACAACAAATACCACAAACTCAGTAAATGGCAACATGAACAACATCTTCAACTTCGACACTTTAGCTTCCAAATTTCTTGATTTATTCACCTCGAAGTAGTTTAAACTCTCTAAATTTTTCAATATCTTCTTCAAATTGTCTCTTTTAATCTTAAGCGCATACAACGACTCTCTCAAATTTCTCCATTTCAACGTAGAACCTTCCAATTTAGACTTCAATAAATTAACTTCAGTAGAAGAATTTTTTGAAGAACTGCTTTTCCACCTTCAAAATTCACAATTTTCAATCTAATAAAAATAACAGAGAAGAAATCATGATCACCAAATACAATCACAAATCATACTAATTTCCTGTTAGGCGAAAAATGTACGTTAGGTTTAGAACATCTATAAAATCTTCTTTCGGGGTTCAATGGAGTCCTTGAAGTGAAACAACAAGCCAATTCACCACAAAAATCAGTCATCATCATGGAGTTACTAATTGAATCACATGAACTTTCAGACATAATTTTAGGTCTGAATTGAAGGAGACAATAGATGAAATAGGAAATTATGACCAACACACGATATATGATTTAAGGTTGCGATGAAGATGAAATTGAATCTAACGAAGACTAGGATTTTTGGGTGAATAGCGATGGATTTTTATTTGAGTGTTTGATTAGGGTGTGCATATTTAGGATTATTTTAAGGGTTACGGGGCGGGTTATGGTTATGGGTTAAAAAGGGGATGAAACAAGTAATATACTAGGATCATGACACGTGTTACAAAATAGGGCTCCCTTAGTGACAAGGTTATATATGTACCACTAATTGAACGGTAGGAATACATGTGTACGCATAGTATAACGGAGGGTATATACACATTTTTAATTAAAGTAAGGGGGTAAATCTGTCCTTTTTCCCTAGTTATATTTCTGTTTTAATATTGCTAATATTTTTTTAAGAATATTTTATTCTATTATTTTTAATGCATTCATATTAGTAAAAGATTATTTGCAAGTTCAATGCGATAACTTATGATTGCGCGATGCACGGATAAATTACCTAGTATATATATAAAAGAGAATCTTAGGTCCGCCTACATGGGCCACCACAAACGAGGATTCTCTTTTAATTTATTTATTTCCAAAACTAGCATTTTCATTTAATGAAAAGTTGTGACTTTTTATGTTAATAAGAGTTGCAAATTTTATGAAAAGTTGTGACTTTTATGAAAGGTTATGACCTTTTTGAAGGGTTATAACTTTTTCAAAGAGTTGTGTGACTTTTATGAATAATTGCGGCTTTTATGAATAGTTGTGACTTTTCAAAGGGTTGTAACTTTAATGTAAGTTGTCAATTTATGAAGAGTTGCGACTTTTATGAAAAACTGCGATTCTACTGAAATGTTGTGACCTTTTCTAAGGGTTCTAACTTTTACAAAGAGTTGTGATTTTTCCAAAGAGTTGTGATCTATTTAATAAGACACAATAATAATTTGTTTACACTACTCTTTATTGTCTATAAATAGAGAGATTTTTTGTCACTATTATTTGTAGGGTTTTTTTTCTTCTATAGGATAGTCGAATTCAAATACAATTAAGTTTCTTATGAAGTTCGTTTCATTCCTAAATTTTTCTTCCTTCTATTTCATGAAGCTTAAATTTTACTATAAGTCATAGTAATTCATGTAACTATAACAATTTTTGTTTGCTATTTTGGTGATTTTTTTTTAAAAAAATATTGTTAAATTTTTTAGCAAGATGATTGAAAATTGATCTTCTCTTTTGTCCCTTTCCATAGGTTTATTTATATAACAAAGAGAATTAATTAATTGCAATGTGACATTACTACTCTTACATCTCTCAGTATACAACTCATATTGTTGATGAAATGGTTGATATCATTACATTTAGTATATAGTAGTGTTACAAAAGGCGAGCGCCTTCTCGCCTTTGGCGAGAGTCGAGGGGAGGCGATGGGTCCTCACCATTCTCTACAGAGGCAAGGCGATATCAAAATGGCAAGGTGTGGCGACACAATGGCGACAGAAAAGGCGCCGCCTTTTTAATCAAAAATATTTGACTTAACAATAGTAGTCAAAATTAGGTTTTTTTATGCTTTTAAATTTCTGTTTTCTCCATCGCGACTCTGTCTCTCGGCTTCTCCATCGATGTCTCTTCTCCCTCGCTCTCTTCTCAAGTTCTCTTCTTGACTTCTCCATCGTTGTTGGCTTCTCCATCGCGAGACTCTCTCCAGTTCTCCCTCGTCGCCTAGTGATTCCGTTCTCCCTCGCCAGCCGCCGCCTCACGATTCTGTTCTCCAGGTATGTCATTTTCTCTCTTCTTCTTCTTCAATTTTTTTCTGTTCTGTTTTTTGGTGTAAGCAGTGCTTACTGGTTTGTGTGATTTTTTTTAAAATTATAGGCAGTCAATTAAAAAAAACTTTCTATTTTTCTATTTATTTATTCCAATATTTCTAAACAATGAATTAATTGAATTTAATAACCAATGGCGGATGCTAGCAAAAAGAGGGACATTGGATGGAATTATGGCACTCAAGGAGCGACGAAAGATTCAGTTAATTATAACTTTTGTGGGAGTACTTCAATGGTAGAATAACTCGACACAAGCAACATTTAGTGGGTGGTTTCAAGAATGTTAAACAATGTGTCACTTGTCCGTCGGAGATTAGAGAAGAAGTAAGGGCTTATATGCAAAACAAAATTGCTAATAATCTCAAATTTCAAGTGAGGCAGCCGGAAGAATATGTTGATATTGATGAAATGGATGATTATGCGAAAATGATGCCTCCCTCCAAAACTCAAAAGATATCTTCTAGTGGAGGTTCATCCACCACACGGAGTGTGACGAAAGGACCTTTGAACCTCTATTTTTCACAAAAATCAACACAAAAAGGAGACTTTGAAAAAAGAGGAGGAATTGAAGAAACATACAAAATTCTAAAAGAGCGTGCGGTAAGTGTTTTTGCAATTTGGATGTATGATGTCAAGCTCCCTTTTAATTGCGTCAATCACAAATCATTCGATAAATTTATTGAGGCGGTTGGACAACATAGCCACGGAATGAAGCATCCTACATTCCATGAAGTTAGAGCCACTCACCTTAAAAAAGAGGTGGATAAAGTAGAAAAATTGTTGATGAGCATAAAGTGCAATGGACAAAGTTTGGATGTTCCATTATGATGGACAAATGGACGGCACGAAATGGCAAAATGATCATCAAATTTTTGGTGAATTCTCCAATCAGTAGTGTATTTCTTGGTTCTGTTGATGCTAGCAATGAATCTACCGATTCCACCAAAATGTACAAGTTATTTGAAAGCACTATCAAAAGAATTGAACTAGAAAATATTGTACAAATTGTCACCAATAATGCTAGTGAGAATGTCAAAGCGGAAAGTATGATGATGGGTGCGTATCCACACATTTATTGGACTCCATGTGCCACTCATTGCATCAACTTGATATTTGGTGACATATTCAAGGTTAAGCCATATGATTCCAGTAATCAACCTATCCTTTAACTTACTTTATAGTCAATAATTCATTAGCTACTAATTAATATAATTTAATCTTTCTGTATTAGTTTTTAAGAAGGCCATCAGAATCAATTCTTGCATTAGTCAAAGGCCATTATTGTTAAACTTGATGAGAAAATTCACCAAAGAAAGAAATTTGGTGAAATCGGCCAAGACAAAATTTGCGACGACATTCTTAACTTTGAGAGCTATGTACATACAGAGAAAAAACTTGAGAACTTTAGTCCTCTCAACCGAATGGAATTCAAGTAAATTTGCAAAGGAAACTTTTGGGAAAGAAGTTGTCAATCTTATTATTACTGTCCACTTTTGGAATGATGTTGTTCAGGCACTTACAGTTTGTAGCCCTTTGACAAAAGTGCTTCATTTGGTGGATGGGGAGAAAAACCCACCAAATGGGTTATATTTATGAAGCAATGGATAGAGCCAAAGAAGCTATTGCACATGATTTTCGTGGAGTTAAGAAGCAATATGAGAAAGTGTTTCAAGTTATTGATGCAAGGTGGTCAGAACAACTCCATCGGCCTTTGCATGCTGCAGGCCATGTTTTGAACCCAGGATTATATTATAAAGCTCAAGAAGAGACAATTATATCACAGACTTTGTGGACCGAGTATTATGCATGTGTTGAGAAGTTGGTCCATGATACAACAATACAAGATGCACTAGTCGCTAAGCTTCCTAAGTACAAAATGGCGGATGAACTATTTGGTTGTTGTCCGGCTAAAAGAGCTAGAGACACAAGGTCACCGGATAAGTGGGTTGATTTAGATCTTACTTAAATTATTTAACTTATTTATAGTCACTAACCTTTAAATTTATTTTATTATAGTTGAATCTCGAGCCTCCTGTTGTACCAATGTCTCCGTTTTAGGGTGGTGGTCACTATTTGGTAGTGAAACACCAAACTTGCAAAAGTTTGTCATGAAAGTATTAAGCCTAACTTGTAGCTCATCCGGATGTGAGCGAAATTGGAGTGTGTTTGAACACGTAAGTAAAAATTTATATCCTATTTTTCATATTATGTTATTATCAATATCAACTAGTTAATATCAATAACTTATGCACAGATTCATTCCAAAAAGAGGAATAGGCTTACACTATCGCGTCTCAATGATCTAGTGTACATTAAGTACAATAGAACATTGAAACATCGTTATGATGCTCGTGATCTTATTAATTCAATTCGCTTGGATAACATAGATGTTTCAAATGAATGGTTAGTTGGATGCCCCGAAGATCAAGATGATGAACTAGTATATGAGGATGATGATCTTACTTGGGGTGGTGTTGCTACGACAATTGGAGCGGACGAGAGTATCTGTCATCTTAGGGGACTTTCTTCAAGATCAACAGTACTTGACAAGGGCAAAAGAGTAGAAAGAACATCTACAAGTTCATCTTCAAGTAGGACTCAGACACTAATTGATGAAGAATACGAGAAGGAAGAAGATGAAGAGCAATATAATGATGTAGAGGATTTTGATCTTCAAGAGTTGGATAATTTTGAAGAAGAATAAACTTATAAAGTTTTGATTTATTGTATTTTGAATTGTTTGGTCTTTAAATTTTAGACATTTTAGTATCTACTATTGGTTTTTGAATTGAATATTTGCTAATATGTGTTGTTGCTATTAAGATTTTGGATAAAATATGCAATTAAATATTTTTAATTTTTGGTATTAATTGGCGCCTTTATTAAAAAAAGGCGAGCGGCGAGCGTGGCGAGGCAGGCCCTTGTGGCCTTTTGTCGCCTCTCGCCGTCCACAACACTGGTATATAGTAAGCAAAATTTTTATTTCAACCACAATTATTTGTAAGGTTCTTTCACTATAGGGGAGTCAAATTCAAATACATTAATTTAGCTTTTTATGAAGTGTGTTTCATTCCTCAATGTTTTCTTCCTCCTATTTCATGATCTTAATCTTTTACTGTAAGTCATAGTGATATGTATTTATTGGAATTTCTTTTTGCTATTTTAGTGACTTTTTTTTTAACTCTTTCGGTTAAATTTGTGAATTATAAACTTGGATATAGCCCGACCGATTTTTTTGAAAAATATGTTAAGCAACATGCCCTTTTCTTTTTGATTGTAGGAAAGTAAGGTCATCTTTATTATTATCGGTGGATATTTGTGAGTTCAAGTGTTCACAAAATCATGTTGTAAGATTTTAATATGTTATATGTCAATTTTTTTTAGAATATCTAGTTATTAACAGTTTCATTCAGATGACACCTACTGCTTAGTTGATAATTGGATTAATTCTTTGTAAATTGCATACTATAACTATAACAACAGTTATGGTCAATTCCAAATAAGTTGGGGCGACGATATGAAATCTAAGCAATAGTAATAATTATTCTGAGACGGTGACTTATCATACTAATTAACAATTTTAGGGTCATTTTTAACATATACATGATACATAAGACATACTATAATAGAAAAGAGATTGTTGGAGGTTCATAAGAAAGGGGCAAAAGGTCCTCCATTTCAATTCAGTTGATTATGTTCTTGTAAGGACGTGATATTCCACTTTACTTGGGAGCGTTATTGTTGGAGGCTTTTTGATCTTTTCTTGAACGTCTAATGTTGTTTTTTTCTTTATCACTAATTGGAATTTAAAAAGTTTCATTACTTCTGACACACTATTTTTATGGAGATTTTCATACACTTCATCTTTTACATTAAATCTCTCTATGACTCATAATTTATGTATAACAAAGACGAAATTAAGAAAAATATAGCACTTTTAAGATTCTTGAAAAACGTTTTTTCTTAAGATAAAATATTTTTGACATTGTAATGTATGTATTGAAAATACAAATATTACTGAATGATCATATACAAGCTCTTAATTGTGTGCGAAGCACAAATAATTTACCATATGCACACACTTGTGCAATATCAGTTAAGAAAATAATTATTTAAGACATTTCATTTAAATTAGAGAAAATACATCAAATTTTCCCTGAATTTGACAGCAAAATTCACTTTAGTACATAAACCATATGAGCGTTAAATATCTCCTTAACATATTTGAACTGTATTATATACAACTCTGATAGTAGAATACCACTCTCACCTGCCATATCATAAACATGTAAGCAGTACGTCATTAATTATTTTTTTTTGCTTATTCACCTATTTTGTTTTCTTAAACTCATTACACTAATCAATTAATTAAAAATACACAAAATTGCCACATTTTCTTCAACCCTTTCTCTTCTAACCCCTCCCCCCCCTCCCCCCCTTCTTATTTCTTGATTTTCACCATTTTCAACTTTCACCAACTTTTTTTTCAGAAAAAATCAGCTTTCAATGATTATTTTCTTCTTCAACATTCATCAAATACTTACTTTTTCTTTTTCAAACTGACATAGACCTACATTTTTTTGCATCACAACTAATAGAATTTAAAATGGGTTACTTAAAATTCAAAAAAGTTTGCATTCGATAATATGAATTGGGTGTTAAATTTTTGTGATTAATGAAGGACTGGTGAGATGAGGGATGAAGATGAAGGAAATTTTTTAATATAAATGAAAAAAATAGAAGGAGTGCTTTAATGAGGAAGAAAACATTTTGGGAAGACAACAAAATAAAGAGAGACAAAAAAATTAAGTATTTTTAAAAATAATTGAACCACAAATTTTATTTGTTTCTAAACAAGAAATTTCATATTCTTTTAACTTTAACTTGTAAAATGAATTTACAATTATTAGTTAGATATTGTCCTATAAAAAAATGTAATGTGTATAATTTTATCTTTCAATTTTTATTTTTTTACATGTTTTGAGGAGAGTGGAGTACACTCACTTTGCCTCGTCAGCTCTTAAGATGATATTTAATTAGTTCAGAAATATTAAAGACATATTTAAACTCTTGTATAATTAAAGTACTAAAATAAATTTTGCTCCGAAATTCAGATAAAATTTAATATATTTCCCCTTTTAAAATTAAGCGTAAGATTGTTAAAAATATTCCAAAATGTAATTCAAATTTCACTTCAACAATAAATGGGTAATATATTCCCACAATGCTAAATTTAGCATATTCCTTTGTATGTTGAGCATTATTCTCATCACAGGTCATACATTACTATACGTGTCAAATGCAGACAGAAATATTTTAAACTAATGATTTTACATAAATTCGTAATTCAAAATAATAAATCTAATCTCGCTCTAATAAAGATGGTTGAAAATTTTATGTTCCTAGATATAAATTTTATAGTGATAATTCATTTCTTCTTCTATTGAGATTAAGCATTGAAAGACAATTTGATAAACTATCAAATCAAGAGAAAATAGTCAATGATGTCCTCTTTGGTCTCTCATCTTATATATTTATTACGTTAAATAGATATTATTTCATATCTACTCACCTATTTACTAATTCCTTATCTCTTCATAGTAAGAGACAATAATAATGATAAAATTAATCGAGATGCATCACAATAAAAAAGGATAATTTTATCATTTGCACATCACCACTAAAATTATACCTTCGGTAACTATTAAACGTCAGTTACACACTGATGATGATGTCTACCGTCTGCTTAATCTCTCTGATTCTCCGATTAATCCTGACCGTCCATTCACACACTTCACCACTAGATGAACGTGAAATGCGCCGAAAAATCTCTCTCCACATGCTGCCGCAGTCGCCGGAAAATAGTACTACTCTACACCTACGGCCGTCCGGTTCATCGTTTAAAATTGCACTTTTCGCCGACTTGCATTTCGGAGAAAATGCATGGACTGACTGGGGCCCACGCCAAGACGTGAACTCCATTAAAGTTATGTCTACTGTGCTCGATGAAGAAAAACCAGGTGATACAATATCATCCACAATTTTGTAGATTGTTTGGTACGCTGACTAAATTATATATCTTCGGATTATAGTGCTTGAACTAATTTATACCGTCAACCAAACACGGTATAACTTTATTTTCAAACTTAATTTTGAGGTACCAAATATCCCCTAAATATATCAAGCATTTGCAATGTAGTTTCATTTTTGTGTTACGAGACTTTCAGCTTAGTTCAAAGTATTGTGGTTATAGGTTTGGCCGAGCCTAATATTCTCTGTTTGTATTTAAAAAAATCTGTTGATGTGTATTAAATTAAAAATCACAGCCCCGCCTCAGAGCAAAAAAGATGCAGATTAAGAATTTATAAACTAAAAATCATGCTCCGCCTCTATGCAGTGGTGTTGGATTACTCTGCCTGTTAAATCTTAGGCATAATACATAAATATATCCTTCAATTTAGTCTCATTTTATATTTATGCCCTTCAACTTTGAGTGCGCACAAATACGCACTTAAACTTGTATAAAGTTGAACAAATAGACACATAAGTACTACGTGTCACAATACACGTAGGGCACAAAATTTCCATTTAAGATGCCATGTTGACATTTGTGTCTATTTATTCAATTTTATGGAAGTTAAAGTGTCTATTTGTGAACACTCAAAGTTGAAGAGCATAAATGTAAAATGAGGCTAAGTTAAAGGGCATATTTATGTATTATGCCTAAATTTTAGGCGGAAGGAAATACATGGAGGAATTCCTAATTTTTGCTTACTATTTTCATTTAGTCACCTTAATTAAGACTTATACATATTAGATACTCCACCGTCGCATCTACCTTAGGCGAGTGGAAAATTTGAAAAAACTCATTTTTTCCTTGCTTGAACAAAGGTACTAATTTATAAAGCATCTTATATTTCAAAAAAAGATTGTGTGGAGAACTTTTTTGGTGGTTGTTTTTGTGGTTTACGGAAGTAATGGCAAACTTGGTCCATAAAACCCCGAAGACTTTGGTCTTCAATCCGTTTCATCACATATCATGCATGCAAGTGGGGCGCTAGGTGTTCGCACGATCATGCCTCACCCCACAGTTATACTGTGCACAATTTTACCCTCCCCAGATTCCACTTTGTGGGAATTCACTGGGTATATTGTTGTTGTTGTACATAGATATATATACTATGTTGATAACGCTGGGTTGGGTTGAACACATGGAGTTGAGATGTTCTTCACTAATCAGCATATCCTCCGGATGCTTGTTTAATTCAAGATTTTTGTTGCAGACTTCGTAGTTTATCTTGGCGATGTCATTACAGCCAACAACATCCCTATACAAAATGCAAGTTTATACTGGAATCAAGCAATCTCTCCGACCAGAGAAAGGGGAATTCCATGGGCTAGTGTGTTTGGAAACCATGACGATATGCCATTTGAGTGGCCAATGGATTGGTTTTCATCCACAGGAATTCCTCCTTTTTGTTGTCCAATGAATGCTTCCTATCCTAGTGAGTCTGAAGGTACCAAGATAAACTGATATCGCATAAACAAAGATGTAAAGTTAATACATCCTTTCTTGAGATTTCAGTTCATTCCAATATGTAACTAGCATGCATTTTTAATGTTCCTTATTGCAGTTCTAATATTGGCTTATTAGTGTATCTCTTTACTTTGTTACGATATTATGTTTCAATACTAGACAGGTTTTATACAAAGAGAATTTTTGGATGAGTGGAATTAGACTAAAAGTCGATACTAGTAGAGGAAATTTGTCTCCCAGTAAGCTGATATGTTTTTGGTATAATGATATATTTGAATAAACAAATGCGCAGAACTTGTTTAAGTGTTGTAGTGTGTGA